CGCCCTCGGACTGCGCGCACAGCGTCGCAGCGCGAGGGTAACGCTGCGACGCTCCTCCATTTTTGGATTGCTACCCCAGAGCACAGGGGGACTGGTCCGTAAGACTGGTTATTAGCTGCATACCGTAACCCTCTCGACGTTGCGCCGGGGCGCGCAATGTCACGTGTCATCGAGTTTTAGCTGGTGTCAGAGTCCGCGATCCATCGCAGGTTTCGCTGATTTTCGCGATTTGCGCGATTTTCGCGATTTGCGCGAAACCGCGACGGATCGCAAAAATTGCAAGTGTTTGAACATTTGAAACACTGAATATGAAACAAGTGGAATCATGAGCAGTCGTCATTCAGCCATCACTATCAAGCAGAAGTGGCGGCAGGATTGGAGAACACCTTGCAGTATTGATCGGGCACTTGTGATTTCCGTGACCCGTCGCGTGAATCGCGAATCGCAAATCGCAAATCGCAAAAATCAGCGAAACCTGCGACGGATCGCGGGCTCTGATACCAGTCTTTCCTTTATGTTCGGCTCCCACTTATCGTTTTCTCTGCGTTCTCTCAACGAAGAGAGAATGCGTCGAGCAAACTCGCCAACTATACTAAGCGCAGTTGATCAAGAACGCGGAGGATAGCACGCACGACGGCTTGGCCTCACACAGGATAAGGCGGCACGTGGGTATTACATCCCCTGCCTACGAGGCAAGTGGCGAGGCAAACGCTGAGACGCTGCTCCATTTTTGAACGCTGCACGCCGGTAAGGGGTCGTTGACTATACGCTTGCAACCTAACAACGGCATCGCTTGCGGCCACTGCTACCGCGTCCTAGCGCCAGTATGAGTTACGGTATACATCCTGTATGTTATGTTCCTGTACTTATACATAATTTTGTGCCTAGAAGGCGCTTCGATGCAGCGCCCACTGATTACGGCAGGGGCATCGTAATTTACGCTTACTTCGGGTGCTCACTCTGCTAAACGGCTTATCTTTTCAGAGAGCAGGCACATCGGCCGGTAGTCATCCAATTAATTGTTAGTCTTCCTTATTGTGCAGCACGGTTCTGCTAATTTTTCACAATCTAGACGAAGTTAGGCAGAGCGTGCGGGAGCTGGACATAACAAAAACGACGTCTACGATAAACATGTTTGTTATTGGTTCCTCATGATTCGTTCACACTCAAACGAACGAACTTCTCCGATGCATCGGCCCCATTTAAGGTCTACTGGCGGAGGCTTTGAGTTCATAAATCGGCAACAGTGATCGCACGTATTGCAAATGATGTAATCTCCTAGACCCCAATGCAGTTAATAATTTTTCAGATCAATTGGACGGAGTACTTACTTCTCGTATCACCACCACAGATCCACGAGTACTTAGTAAAAGATCCACAAGTCGCGGTTCCTAGCACGGAATACATGAAAGAGTTGGTAACGCTCATTGTAGCAACCATAATTACATACATTTAACTTTTGTTAAATGCCTTTTTACAGAGTTAATCAAGTTCTCAGTGAAACTACGCCAAGAACTGTAACCAACTATGTTATGGTTCAGTACATACTATCATGGTTACCATTACTAGAGAAAAAGTACAACGATTTATTACAAGTTTGTCCGTAAGCTGTTTTGATAAGCAGTCCCAGTGGCGATGACTTGAAAATCGTTCTATGCTACAGCGTGGGTATGGTGGCACAGAAGTTTTGGTCCATTCCATCCAGGTTAATTTAGGATGGAGTATCAGTCATGAAAACGTTTCACTATCCTACTATCACTACTATGTATAATTCGCTAAGTATGTCTGTCTGTGTGTGTGTCTGTCTGTACGTACGTCCGTCTGTCACGAAATTCATAGCGCGCTTCGCTGCAGGCATGGAACGCTGTATTTTGAGTATGGTGTAGGGACGGCAACATATTTGGTGGGGTTTAGAAAGTGATACCGACTGATAAGATCTGATAAGAGGCGCTAAAGACGTAATGTATAACTTCGTATAGCATACATCATTGGGCCATCAATATTACTTCCGATCTGCTAATCATTCCCTGATATCAAATGAATGGGTCCTCTTTTCAGACACCAACTTTACCTCGCGCACTCGCCACAGCGCAAATCAAACAAAACGGTTGGTTAAAATGGCTATTGCTTGTCTCTGTAGAAGCCAGCTACGCATTCACGAAGCAAGATAATTGCCGCGTAGCTTCCTTCCTCGAAGCTAGTGACGCAAAGTTTCCTTTAATTTTCTTGAACGTCGTGTTTTCTTTTCATTTCAATGCCATGTTACTAGCTACATACATACATTTAATGTAGGCCTTTCATCAGTGTTATCCCAGTTGGGAAGACATTACAGGAATTTTGGTCCCCTAAGCCCTTCGGGGAGGATAGCATACTGCCCATTGTTTAGCAGCGAAACCTTATGCTCCGCCGGCGCCACTTACGCGAGCGCCTTCCCGTTGTCACGGCACGCGGTAGTGTGCGGAGCTAAACTGGTATACATAGAATTCGATAAGTATGTGTAAATTAACGCGAATAACGCGAATCCTCGTTTATTTGGTGAAGTCGTTATAACTTGGTTCAAAATTGAGCTATCGCCGAAGATATCTTTGAATTCACCTGTCAACACTAGTAAAAGTGGCTTTGATACTTCGAAAAAGCTCCATATAGGATTGCGCCATGCACCATCGATTTTCATCTCAAAAAGTAGTTGCTCGCATGTGATGTGTATATAATCCCGCTTATGCGGGCTGACCGCTACACACAGAGAAGGGCCTCAAAACTTACCCCAGAATGCGCCACGTACTCAATCTCATCCACTACATTGTGAGATTAGATGAATGTTATTTTCCGAATTCTTAGATCTTCATTTCGTTTTTAAGCGCTTACTGGCTTTACGTGTTCCCTCTGCTCTCAATATCCCATCCTCTGTATATCAAGTGGAATCTTTGAACAGTTCTCAGCAGGCAGTGGGCCCTATTATGTGACATTTTCCATTTTCAGAGGAGATGTTTTGCAGAAAGCTGTGAAGATAGCGAACAATTTCCTTCACTGTCGTAGACTACGGTCACTTGTCTGTAAGGATTATATGGAAACCTTGGTCGCAGGTGAGCGTTTCTTCCGTGGTGTGACCCCAAACATCACCCCTTGTCATGCCTTTGCCCCCTATTACGTGACAAGTCCCATTTTTAGAGGAATGTTTTGTAGAAAGCTGTAAAGGAAGCGAAGAATTTCCTTGTCGTAGACTATGGTCACTTGTCTGTAAGGAATTATGTGGAAAACTCGGTCGCAAGTGAGCGTTCCTTCCGTGGTGTGGCCCCAAACATGCCTCCTCGTCATGCCCTTGTGGAAAGTTCAGATTTTTTGCATTTCCAGATGAACTCGCAGACCTGAAATGTGCCCCGTTAGCTTCCCCGTGAAAAATGCTATCGAATGATATGCATTACTTCCCCAGTTGAAACTTTGGTTTTTCACCGTTTTCAGCCTTCCCCTATTGCTCCAACCGCATACTGCCCAGAAACTCCAGACAAGTCTATTTTGCGTCCGAAACTTTGACTCATTTGAGGAATTTCGGATGCCGATTTACGAATACCATTGTCATTTTGAATCCCCTTCATTTGGGGCGCCATTGCAACCGCCGGGATTGGCGCCAAAATTCGGCGGCGATCGGGCTTATTGCAACAACGACAAGATCTGCTTGAAACTTCGTATTTGGGTTATTGGGCCTCTATCCTCGAGCTCACGGGTTGTCGCACTGGGCCAAGTTGGCTTGCGGCTGTACATTGGGCAATGTGAGAAAAATGGGATACGGAAAAACACTTCAGGTCACCAACCCCAAAGTCAGTTTTCACAGTGTGGGACGTTCTCGCGGAGTATGTGTGGGGCACTTCAGGAGGAACCCGCCGATCATCGGAAGGTTCGGGTGCGAGATGGAAATTGACGAAACACTGGTTATCAAACGCAAATACAACCGCCGACGTTGGGTACGCAGGCACAAGTGGCTGTTTGGAGGCATTGAAAGAGGAAGTGGACTCCTTCGGATGGTCCGAAGGAAAGACGTTTCAACTCTACTGCGGCTCATCATGAAGTAGTACATCGAGTCCGTGAGTGAGCAGAGAGCTTACAGTCGAATTGCTGCTCTGCCCAACGCATACAGGCATCTCCAGTGAAAACGTGAAATATGCTTCTGGCTTAGCTCACAGTTTTCCACGGTCTGGCTCCTTCCTGTCGTGGGAAAGTCTCTGATTCGATGACCTTTCCCACGGTCTGACTCCTTCCTGTCGTGGGAAAGTCTCCGATTCGATGACCTTTTCCACGGTCTGACAGTCGGCGCTCTGAGAAAGGTGCCTAAGAGTACGCTCTGACTGTGAAGTGTTGTTTGTGACACCACATGGCGCCGGCGTCAAGACTGGATGTTATATTCGTGATCAGGACCCCAAATAACCCCTATACACACGTTTTCAGCGGATTTGGTGGAAACAGCCGTGGCGCCAAATTGGCGCCAAACGGCGCCAAATGGCGCCAGCGCTAAAAACGGGTGTCGTTTTCGTAATCAGGACCCCAAATAACCCCAAATGACGAAGTTTCAGCAGATTTGGTGAAAACAGCCGTGGCGCCAAATGACACCAGCATCAAAAATGAATGTCATATTCGTAATCAGGGCATCGAATTACCCCAATAGACAAAGTTTCGACGAAAAATGAAACTTTGAGATTTTGGGGCAGTAATCGTGGGATAGTGCCCAATCCGGCAATAGGGGAAGGCTGAAAACGGTGAAAAACCAAAGTTTCAACTGGGGAAGTAATGCATATCATTCGATAGCATTTTTCACGGGGAAGCTAACGGGGCACATTTCAGGTCTGCGAGTTCATCTGGAAATGCAAAAAATCTGAACATTCCACAAGGGCATGACGAGGAGGCATGTTTGGGGCCACACCACGGAAGGAACGCTTACTTGCGACCGAGTTTTCCACATAATTCCTACAGACAAGTGACCATAGTCTACGACAGTGAAGGAAATTCTTCGCTTCCTTTACAGCTTTCTACAAAACATTCCTCTAAAAATGGGACTTGTCACGTAATAGGGGGCAAAGGCATGACAAGGGGTGATGTTTGGGGTCACACCACGGAAGAAACGCTCACCTGCGACCAAGGTTTCCATATAATCCTTACAGACAAGTGACCGTAGTCTACGACAGTGAAGGAAATTGTTCGCTATCTTCACAGCTTTCTGCAAAACATCTCCTCTGAAAATGGAAAATGTCACATAATAGGCCCACTATGCCTGCTGAGAACTGTTCAAAGATTCCACTTGATATACAGAGGATGGGATATTGAGAGCAGAGGGAACACGTAAAGCCAGTAAGCGCTTAAAAACGAAATGAAGATCTAAGAATTCGGAAAATAACATTCATCTAATCTCACAATGTAGTGGATGAGATTGAGTACGTGGCGCATTCTGGGGTAAGTTTTGAGGCCCTTCTCTGTGTGTAGCGGTCAGCCCGCATAAGCGGGATTATATACACATCACATGCGAGCAACTACTTTTTGAGATGAAAATCGAGTGCATGGCGCAATCCTATATGGAGCTTTTCCAAAGTATCAAAGCACATTCTTATAGTGTCCGACGAGCTGAATTCAAAGATATCTTCGGATTCTCGAAAGCTCAATTTTGAACCGAGTTATAACGAATTCACGAAATTAACGAGGATTCGCGTTATTCGCGTGAATTTTCGATTTCAAACGGCGAGTACTGTACCTGTGTTTGTCACGACTTCATGGCGCGCTTCGCTGCAACAGTGGAGCGCTGTATTTTGAGTATGTTGTAGGGGTGGGACGGGAACATATTTGGTGGGGACAGAAAGTGCGACTGATAAGATCCGATAAGAGGCGCCAAAACGCCAATTTCACGATATCCATAGCGCGCGTCCCAGCATCAGTGAGGCGTTGGTTCCAAGAAGTGATGTAGAGGGTAGGACGGGAACATGTTTGGTGGGGTCAGTAAAGTGATAACGGCTGATAAGATCCGATAAGAGGCGCCGAAACGCCTATTTCACGATATCCATTGCGTCCCAGCAGCAGTGAGGCATTGGTCCCAAGAGGATAGGACGGGAACATCTTTGGTGGGGAACCCAAATTGATAACGGCTGATAACGGCCGATATTGATAAGCGGTCACAACTTCTTCTCCTTCTTTAGGTTACCACAAAAAAACACAGTAGTTGGACTTTGGCAGAGTAAATCGTCGCAAAGAGAGAAAGCATCAGGCAGCCATATTGCACGAGATTTTGGTCGGTGCTGCATAATGCTTAAAGACTAACTCAGGGATTGAACTGGTGCTCTCAGCGCTCTGTAATGATAGCTTAGCTGCGGACCGACCTGAAAGTGGAAAGGAAAGCAAAAGAAATCCACCTTTATCCGTGATCGCAATCTTCGACTAGCATCTTTTGTAGGAGATACAAGGAATTGTGCCGATTATTCTAGAAACAAAGAATAAACCCAACAAAGACGACGAGCAACGACGCCCCATATGGTTTTCATTGAATTTAGACCCTGCCAACAAGTGGCTTATCCGAGTAAATCCATACAGTAGGCTTCAAAGTAAGGCAAAGTTGGCTCACCGACATGAATAACAGCGCTGTACTGCTGAGAAGTAAGCTGATAATGACAATTCTTCAGACGGTAGCACGCAGTGTTTGAGCACTTCTTAGTCGGTGAATTCGTTCATTCGTTGAATCGTGAAGACAACATCTACTTTGCCACGCCGACTGTAGGTTGTGCAGTATCAGTATCAGGCTCCTTTTCGATAAGAAGATGGATTTTCTGCCCTAAATCATCTTTTTAAACTAGTGTACTCCATCAGGCACGCTAGGAGGAACATTTTTTTACCAGAAAAACTACTGATCAATATCACACACAGCTGTTTGGCCTCTAGGTAATAATTCACGAAATTCAATCTGTACGAGAAGTTAAAAAGTTTGCCGAGCACGATGATGTGCTCTAATACCACCGCTTACGGTATGCGATACATAATCGTTCATCATCAGCATACTTCTCAGCAGTACAGCGCTGTTATTCATGTCGGTGAGCCAACTTTGCCTTACTTTTAAGCCTACTATATGGATTTACTCGGATAAGCCACTTGTTGCTAAGGTCTAATTCAATGAAAACCATATGGGGCGTCGTTGCTCGTCGTCTTTGTTTCTAGAATAATCGGCACAATTCCTTGCATCTCCTACAAAAGATGCTAGTCGAAGATTACGATCACGGATCCAGGTGGAGGCATACAAAAATTGGTAGAAAACATGTCAGATCGGCTCCTCAAGGTGCTATGCAGATCGGCGAATCCGTGGCCTGCATATCTACAATACAGTACTAATATGATTGTGGAAAGCTAGGAAAAAATTTTTGCTGGCGGATCCCCTAGTGAAAAAAACACTTGTCAAAATCCTCTTATGACTTATAGTTTGCAACGGCCACTTTTTCATTTTTTTGACCCTGGATTCCTGGAAGTTGACACAACTGCTTGGGGATTCCCTTTTAAAGGTTTCCGCCGAATCGAAATGGCATTACCCATTTTCGTGCTATATTTCTCGTAACTTCAAAAACCCAAATTTTGGGGTATGTCGTATAGTTTTGCAACGAAGTGTATTCATGCTGTATACAAATTCCACTTCTGAACTAGCTGTAGTTCCAATGAATTGTTTTTACAGAGGCAGTGTGTGCTGGAGGGGTAGCACATAAACTTTGACAAGCGAAGTCGTCCAATAGAATGAATAGCGTGGAATACTGAAACGGTGAAACTCCAGTTCGAGGGGGCCACTCCATTTTTTTTCCAATACTCAAGATAAGGATTAGAGGGCTCACGACACGTAATCGACTCATTTAAAGTAGACTTCTGATAAATATTGGTGTAATGGGTGAGAAACCCTGAAACGTTTCACATTTCCGCCTGCCATGACCCAAGGGAACGGTCCTGGACCAGGAGAAAGGACACCTCCGCAAAGGGCTAAGGGTGCAGGAGCTCCAGGGTGGATCACCTGTGCAGAAAAGTGGATGGGATGTGGGCAGGTAGTGTGGAATGTAGGACATCCACCGGTCCTTATCAAAAGTACGCTCGAAATGAGTCGTTCACTTATTATCTTATCCGTAGTGTTCGATAGCCCAAAGAACTGCTCTCTAGTACTACGGATAAGATAGCAATGGAGTGGCCCCCCCGAACTGGAGTTTCACCGAATACGTAATTGGTTTCGCATCATAATAGGTTTTAGTGGTTTGGCTTTTCATCGGTCGACTTAACAACTCCACGGAACAGAAGCGAAGTATGCTTTTCTGAAACTAAGAAGCACTATCCAATAGCCATGTTCGCAATGTACGCACGTTCCAGGACAACCAAAGGTGAGAAAATAATTTTTTGGATGTGTTTCGCTTGAAAAAGAACACTGTGTGCAAATAGAAGAGGGAAGATGCATAGACTCCTTGGCGTAAGGACGTACTATTGGGTGACCCATAATTTCTGGCCGATTTTGGTTCAAATTCAATTTTCTTCATGTCAAATTAGCTTCATAATGAAATAAGTTAATATGTTGAAGAACACATCAGGACCTTCAGCCAGGATGATTCAGAAGCTTAAGTGCGCAAAGGGATAATTAAGTAGGAATCAAAAGATCAACAACCAAACCCAACGATTTTGCCTTGCGACAATTTTAAGAAGAACCTTGCAAGGAGCGCGGTAGGCAAGATCAGCGCTACGTTTGCCCCAGTCTTTGCTACTGATCGGGCACTGAGCTATTGGCTCAATAGCATCGGCAAAGGCGATAGGAGCTGCAAAGTTCGACCTCATCATGGACCTCCAGTCACTTTCGATGAGGACCCTTGCGCTACGAATAGGAAGTGCATCCGACGCTATTAGCAGGAAACTGTAGCAAACATCTGGACGCAGCCTACGCTCCATGAGTCGACACCTGAATGGAATGGACTGTAGCAGAATGAAGCCTCGATGGAAACAGCATGCATGGACTGACCATGACCGAGAAGCACGCCTGACCATCTGCAGAAGTTTAATTCTGCGACCGTTTAGAGTGAGCTTTAGTCCCCTACGATAACAACACGTGGCTCGCCCGGTGACTACCTCGCAGCCTGGACGCAGCACATCAACCCAGCTGTTTCATCAGAGGGTGTGACCCCCGTTTTGTTGGATTCGCTGGGTATCCCGTTTTGAGAACCATTTCACTTTATGCAGACAAGCATTGCGAAGGTAACCATGGAATAGCTCCCAAAGTTGGCCGCAGCAGTGCGGGAGAACGGTTGGAAAAGTCTCAAAATCTCCTTTATCCGGAGGACCGCCCGAAATCACATTGCAAAGATAACTCGCCACGTTTCGAGGGAAACTGGCTGGACCACGACACCACATCTATCGTATAGCCCTTGCTCCATCGTACTATCACCTCCTCAGCCCCTGAAGCAGCAGCTAGGAGAGAAAAAAGTCAGTAAATACAACCACCCCAAAAACGACCTCTTCGAGCTTTTCATCTCACAGCTTCTCTCGTTCTGGGAGGAATGCATCCATTCGTTCCCTAGCAAATGGGTGCATATCAGTGATTATGATGGTGGTTATGTTTTTGATCAATTGTTCTTTAGGAAAGATAAAACTTGAATAAATCAAAGTGTTGAAATTCGGCCAGAAATTATGGGTCAACCCAATATAATTGAAGCGAGCACCTAGGAGGATGCCGCAGCTCCAATCACAGGGAATGATTTCATAGCAATGACTGGGAGGGATCGCAAAGTAGACGTTTGTTTAAGGTCGCAGCTAAAACACTATTAAAGCATAAAGCAAAAGGATAAAGCATTTGCCGTTGATCAATCCCTTTTTGGGATGCGGCACGCATTCTACTTCCATTTGTACATTCGTAGTGGCGTTTGAATGCGATGTGGCCTATACAATGACTTGCGGGGGCCAGCCGATGTACAAGTCAGTGTTTTTATCCTCCAGACAAGTCTGGTACCAATTAACCGACCCCGGAGGGATGGAAGGCTTGGTTGGCCCGGGCGACTCACGACCCAGGATTTGATCCCCGGACCGCTCGCGTGGTAAGCGTGCCACTTGCCACCCTCCAAAAAGGGCGGAAGTGGTGTAGTGGCAAGTGGCACGCTTACCACGCGAGCGGTCCGGGGATCAAATCCTGGGTCGTGAGTCGCCCGGGCCAACCAAGCCTTCCATTCAAACGCCACCACGAATGTACAAATGGAAGTAGAATGCGTGCGCGCGAAAAGCTGGCTCCGACATCGCTGGTATCCAGCGATGTCGGAGCCAGCTTTTCGCGCAATATGGCAAATGCTTTATCCTTTGAAAACACCATTAGGAACAGAAAATGCGAAGCAGAAATGTTTATACTAACCTTCTGACCCTCCACTCCCCAGTATTTACATGCATGTATTAGGTTGTCTCATAAGTAGTGTCGCTTTTTTTCAACCAAAAATTTTCATCTAAATCCCATGCTTTTACATCATTCATATACCATTCGAAAGAGAATTGTCTGCTCTACAAGATTTGTGTTCCTCTTCCACCTATGTTCCAGGGTTTTCAAATTTTAGGCCTGCGAAATGGGAGGTCCAGCCGACAAAAATTGACCAAACCGACAACTAGCTCTAACTTTATTTTCCCTGGGAAATCAATCAATGATGTACCCTCTACTTACTCATGACCTCTTCTAAACATTCCACTCTTAGGTTGCCGAAAAAGCTTTGCCGTGTTTCTTTTCGAATTGGCTGACCGATAAGCCATAGCAATTTTCAAATTAAAATTGTTCCTCGTAAACGCCATTGTTTCATATCAAGTGGTGTTCCTTTTGTGAGCACTTCTTCTGCTCTATTCGCTCATTTGTTTTGTTTTTATGTTTGTTGGGAATTAGTTCGAATTTTAGGTGTTTAGGAATAAGGTGTTTTATCCACGAAAGTGACCGCATTTCTTTGAAAAAAATTATCCCTGAGAAGATGAGAAAATCAACCAGGCGTACATTCCTAACTTAGTCATGACTTGTTCTTAAATTCTACTAGTTTTTCAATGTCTCGGCTATAAAAAATTTCGACCTAGATCTCAGGTAATGGTGCTCGACCGTCGAGTTCTGGTTGAAAAACCAGGTCTGGAAATGGAACGACGCGACTTGTTGGGAAACCTAATAGTGTAATGTTAGAAGAGGTCATGTATAAGTAGAGGGTACATCATTGATTGATTTCTCCAAGGGAAGATAAAGTTAGAGATAGTTGTCGGTTTGGTCAATTTTTGTCGGCTGGACCTCCCATTTCGCAGGCCTAAAATTTGAAAACCCTGGAACAGAGGTGAAAGGGAAACACAGCTTCTTATACAGGGTGCGCCAAAATTACGGAGACAGCGACTTCGAGTTGCCTAGGATGAGCAAGGTGCAATTCTTTGAAAACAAAAATGCAGTGACGTGCACAGTCCCATTCTGAATCGTCGACATCCATGCAATTTTTGAAATTCCTTGGTTTGTGTTTAT